ATATATATATATATATATATATATATATATATATATATATATATATATATATATATATATATACTATATATATATATATATATATATATATATATATATATATATATATATATATATATATATATATATATATATCTGGAACGATAACAGCGAGCGAAAAGTGAAGCCGACAGAAAAATCACGACATAAGTATTCGTCATTGTCTTCGTCATCAACTGTTCAAGAACTTTCTTACAGTATTAAAAATCACTTACATATAAAATTTGTAATTGTTTTGAAAGTTTTTATCACAGGTTTTATATCTTTATTCACTTTTAACCTGAAGATGGAGTTATACTCCGAAACGTAGTTATTAAAATAATTTTTTACTAAGCCCATATGGTCTAATTTATATTCAAACACACGTACATATTCATTTACATTTTGCTGGCAGGCAAATTCCGACCACACAATAAATTCTTTAAAAAATAACGTACCAGTGTATTGACTAAAAACTATAAAACTGGTAAACTAAAAACAATTCAAACAATCGCGAAAAATGGCAACGGCAAAGTCACAGTTGCAAGTCAATTTACCTACCTGTGAAATGAAATTTTCTCGCAAGAATATCTCTTTCCTTGTGCATCCAGAACGACAGTACGACACAATATATTTGAAAAAGTGATTCTTTTCTCCACACGGGGAAGTTTTCCTGGACTTTTTTTCCGACAGCGAACTCAATGCAGTAAATTTTAGGAGCAAAACAGTTTGCTCTTAAAATGTATTGCATTGAGTTGGCCATGTTTTTAATTTTTTTTCGTGATTGCTTCAAATTTATACTGGCCGTGCAACGGTTTGCAAGAGGGGGAATGAAACTGACGTCCAATCTGCGTAAACCTGACGTTTGAGGGACTGAGACTGACGTCCAATCCGCGTGAAAGACTGGTATCGAGGCTTCATTGTTTTCACAATCAAATGACTGAATGTTATCATCCCAGATATATATATATAGAGAGTTCACTGCTGACGCCACATGGTTCCTCCGGCTCATGGCAATTACCACTGACCAACCGCGATCCTAAGGATCCGACAAAGACCTTCGCCCCCCTGTTTTTGCACAAATATTTTATGTTTTCGAGACAAAATCATGCCGTTTTTCTCCGCTTGTGGTGAGAGGTAAGATTTGTGAAAGGTAAGATTTGTGAAAATTTTAAGTCTTTACCTTTTATTGGACTAATTCTAGATTGGCAAAGTCAGGGGCCGATATGCGTATAAAATCGAGGTATAAATATATATTTGTCAAACACATTATATTTTATATTTACACCAATATTTCTGGAGCGGACAAAAAAAAAGTTGTACATGGTTATTTATACATTGTGTTCATACATTTTGTTTCTAGATTCAGGCACTGGCTTTTGTTTTTAGTGCCAGTTTATTAGTTTAAACAGCAGCTCATGCAATCTGTAGTTTGCTTTTGTTTTATAAAGAGCAGTTAGCACTAGATTATATATAAATAAGCTTATGATTATGTATAAATAAGCTGTATTGTATCCTTCACAAATATTATAAACTGCTAGTCTTGCTAGGTTTTGTATCAGCATTTACCAACTGGCAACTGGCTGTGTAGTTACTAGTTGGGCTTTTTTTGTGGGGTTGTGCACTACATTTCAGTCAGCATCTAGCTATCATCAACTTGTACATACCCAAATTTGCATGATTTATACTTATATCATTCTTGCATTGGCATTACCTTGAGTGCTAGTATAGGTCAACCTCTATGTCTCATAAAAATCTCCAAACAAAGAACCTCCTTCACTCAGAAAATACCTCTGTCATGGGAGTCTGGATTTATGTTTAGACAAGAAAGCCATATTTATTTAGGTCCCCTAGAGGTTAACCCATTGACTCGCATTGCGACCTACTTTATTATTTTACTCTATCTGATGCCAGACGATTTTACTCGTCAAGTAGAGAGTGCTGGTGCTTAATGGGTTAATAACTAGCCTATGTGTCTAGTTAACATTGCACCCTGTTGCGCCCTACTTTTAACTTTACTCTGTATAACGCCAGATTATTGTACTCTGTCTAACACCAAATTATTTTACTGTCTAACACCAAATAATTTTACTCATCAATTGGGGAGAGCGCTGGCACTTAATGGGTTAATTCAGATTTATACAAGATTAGTGGTGCACCAGAGCTAACAGTTCCAATCCAGCCAGAGCTGTAACTGGCAAAGTAGGGGTGGTGGTCTGAGCTAACTGACAGGCCAGAACCTACAGTATGTACCCATTGTAATTAGTTTTGAAATATACATGAAACAGTTTCACACACCATAGAATAAAACAATCATAAACAAAGTAACTTTATTTCTCATTTCTATTACAGGCATCAAAGTGATATACAAGAACTGAAGCAAAAATGTTCTTGCTGTAACAGCTGTATTCTATCATGATGATAGTTAACATTGATGTGTATGATCTTATTTGGGTGTAACAATCTGTAGTAATACAGTATTTGTAGTGGTAATCTGTTATCGCTACCAAAAGAAAATTGAAAAGAGATCAAAATGCCAAAGTGATGTCACAGCTCATGGGACTACAAAGTGATAATTATACCAGAATAACCAATTGATTAATATATACAGTTAGTTCAAAATGATTGGATCATTCAAGAAAATATCCACACCTCTAATGGAAGAGATGGGAGGTTCAGCTTCCTCCCACCTTTGGACATCTTAATACTTTTACTATTATCGGCAGTTGAGTTCTTCCCACTTCAGACAGCACAATTTCTTTCTGTGGAGTTAGTGTTTATCTTTTCTGGAATGACTCATTGGTGATTGGTAGTTAATAATTATTCATTGAAGAATTTAAATTAAATTAAAATAATACAATTTCAACTGCATCATTTTGGTAGATAATTCTGCAATAAACAAGAATAGATTATATAGGTTATTCGAAAAGAGAAAAAGCATGAGAAATCATATCAGGGGAAAATGAGGAATACAAAAGAAATACACTAGGTCTTCAGACAACAATGCTTGAACTTTGTCGGCAAGTTGAGTGACCCAGTTAAATATACATTGTCAATTGTTTTTTCAGAATTACATTTATCAAAAAAACTATTAGAAGTCACAGAAACTAAATATCCTATGTGTATGACACCAAAACCTAAAAAAATAAGAACAAATATAAAGGCGCCAAGCTCTTCGGCTGAAACGTCGAGGTTTATTTGTCTTAGCCTTTGAAGTTAGCTACAGTAGTTGCATCATCCTGCATTGACTAGAACCCCTGCCCAAGAACTACAATCATAGTGATTCAAAACTTGTTAACCTAAGGTACTCCGACAGCAGAACGAGCTTCCTTGAGTACCTCTAGCTTTTGCATAAGTTAGTACAAATTAAATATAAAATACTATAAATTCTCTTTGTTATTCCCTCAAAATATAGTGGTACTGGTAGCACATTATACTGTACTTTCATGTCATTATAAAATCAATCCTCAGGATCAAATTAAGATAATTTGATATTTGTAAAATGCACAGTTTCGTACCACCTACAGAAAATTATAAATTTTCAAAATAGTATCATGAAATACAAACTGCAGGCTTATTCAAAACATCATAAAATATGCAACAAATAGAGCATGTAAAACAATAGATCAAAACACCATTTTGCTCACGATTTAAATGAAACAAAAGTTTATTACTTTGTACACAAGGCTTTAGAGACCTTTACATACTTGTGGTTAAAATATAATACATTGCACCACAGTTAAACCCAACAATTTTTGTAGAAAATTTGCTCGAGTGTGTGAAGTTTATATGAGAAATATTTTACCTGTAGTTGCGGTGTCACAGTGATATGAGTATCCCCGTGTTTTGTGTATCCCCTACTAATATCACTAGGGATATGTGTATCTCCGGCAATATGGCGGTCGTGTTCTCGTATCCCTAAAGAACCACCCTACATTCCCACATCACTACAGACACTAGGGATACAAGTATCCCTAACATTTCGCGGGAAATAAAACATGCAGAACTGCACATGCAAGCTTGAAAATAGCACTCTAAATAGTGTGTTGGATTGTGTTTCGAACAAGACTAATACCACAAAGATATGTTGAAAGGGGCCGAAGTTATATTCGGCAAAAATGTATGCATGGCTTAGTGATGCATTGTTTACATTCTTCGAGTTTAATATTGTATATAGTATGGTATGGTTAATTTACATTGTTCAAGTATGCCTAGTTTATAATTTATGGCTATTTTACATTGTTCGATTTTATAGAACTTTTCAAGCGGATTTTTTTGTGGTACTTTCGTATTTCTACTGCAAATACTCGTGGAGTTCTGTAATATTTAAACTTCCTGCATGTTCTACACCAATTTATGCGAATCGAACATGCTATCTTACAACATAAGCACAATCACATTATACACATTTACTGCAGCATTTAATAACTGTAAAAACGTAAATACTTAGTACCGGAAAATAAAGGCACAGATAAATGACTTTCCTCCTGCTCATATTTTGAATATTGCATCCTTTCGCTCCTAGTGTTGTAGGTTTCCCCACCGGGGTACTTTTATCCCTAGGGATATTAGTGTGGGGATACACAAAACACGGGGACACTCATATCACTGTGACAGCGGCTTCAAATATCGTCCTTATCGATGTATTTTGAGGTTTTCTGTCTTTTGAGGACGAGAATATAATGTGTATGACTTGCACACATTTGAACCAGTGGTCAAAGGTCCAAAAAATATGAAAAA